TTCTCGAAGGCTTAAGCAGTTCTTCAGGAAAGCACTAGAAACTGATGTAAGCATTAGTTTTGTAAAGACTCAGCCAGACATATTCCCCTGCCACTGGGGCTGTAATAAAAAATAATCCTCTTGAAAATCCAGTCAAATTATCTATCCACCTTGGGGAAGCACACCTCAAAAGCAGTTGCAATTGTGGCTGCAATAATTGAATAAAGCCTGTTGCGAGTCCTGTGAGGACTTTACACGCTCCCTCCACCAGATAGTGCTGTTTCTCCACAGAGCTGTTGAGGATTCACAGGCCAGGGAAAGGTCAGGGACTGACTCAAGGTAACAAACTGCCTTGCAGCTTGGTCGTCCCTCCCTGCCACTGCCACTGCCACTGCCACTGCCACTGCCACTGCCACTGCCACTGCCACTCCGCGTGAAACAGGGGAGGCGTGCCACTGCCACTGCCACTGCCACTGCCACTCCGCGTGAAACAGGGGAGGCGCAGCCGGAGAGGGATTTGCGGGAGTAAACCCGTGTCTTGGAAGGCTGTTGTCTGCAGATGAGTGTGTGTGCTGGTGTTGCCATCCTTGCTATCCGTTACCAGTTTGACGTATTTTCTTTCCTAAAGTAAGAATGCAGATAGAAGCTGATGCAAATAGGCTGCGCTTTTATGATGTCTCGGGAGTCTTTTCCTTACAGCTTTACAGGACACCCTAATGATGCAGCTGTCTGCCAAGTAATCAGTCGGACTGAGGCAACCCCAATGAAAAATCAAAACACCAACGTGCAGACGCTCCCGCCGGTGAGCAGCGTACGCCAGGAGCAGTCCTGACACAAGGCTACATGCAGTTTGGTCTCAGAGGGCTGAGCAGAGGGACTTCTACCAGCAAAAGTTACTTCTGGGGAGTAGATAGATCTCCTTAACCAGTCCTGAGCCTGCGTACCCTGTAGGCCCTCTGTGTCCTTTTATAAAAACACAGCTGGAAGAATAGCTAAAGCATAGTAACTGCAGGGCATGGTTTACTACTCTGCTGTAGCCTTCGTAACAGAGTACAGAAATGCATCTAGAGTGCTTCTTATTGCCTTTCTGCAGGAGAAATATTGCATGTGCTGTATCTTCCTCTCCTGACTCTCCCGTGAGAAATAGAAGGAATAGCATTTGCTCTTCAGCTCTTAAAGAACCAATCCTTCCGAACCCACAGCAAGAGAACAGAAAAAAAATCAAGTAAACAAGTATCTAAAAAACTTTCAAGTGGAAAATAGTACTCACAGTTGGAATGTTCTTTGCTGTCTGTTACTTAGAGTTTTGGAGACCACCGAGCCAATTTTTTGGATGAATTTTGCAGGAAGCATTGTGATGTTCCTCAATGTACCCGAGTTACTGGATTTTAAGAATATTGTTCCGGGGTCTTTTGGTAAGTTAGTAACTGCTTTGTGTTAAAAGTTCAGTCTTGACATAAACGTGCTTTCCCAAAGTATAATTAAAAAAAAACAAAACCAGTGCAAGATATGTGTGTTTTCCTAGATAGTGTAAGGCTTGAGCTGTCTGATCCTAAGTGAGCTTCTAAATCTTTATTCATGCAGGCAGTCTTCTTAGAAAAAACGATTTGTGAAACCAAACCTTAGCTTGCTTCAGCGCATGGAAAAGCGCAGATGGCTCAAATTAGATATCAGGGCCTAGCTATGCATGCAGTAGATTGTATATGTAATTAGACAAATATAAGGTTTATTTATATTATTTTGTATGCTGTGTTAATATTGTCTGTATTTATTCAGACTTTCGTAATATGCATGTGCGATCTCACAGAGATGCTAGGTCATTAAACTCACCATGGAGACTGTGTTTACTTAAATCTTACCTTGGGCATTCGGAATACATGTAGTTGCAGGGCTCTTAAAAATAAACAGAAAAAATTGAACAGTGTACCAGTTCGGCTTTTATGTTTTCCAGTACCTAAGGAAATGGAGCACATTGTTTATATTACCGTTATTGAGAAACAACACAAACACATCCAGAGGAAAGATTATATTGTAGAGTTCTTTCTGACACACTAAATGTAAGACCATATAGCTTAATATGTAGTACTAGTACGTGCTAGGTTCTGAATTGGGGTGGGAGGAAAAGAGTAGGTGATTTTTGCGTTTCTGGTGGGGCCTGCGAGTACAGTCCTTTACCGAAATAACACGACAGATGCATCACGGCTGCTGTGAGCCTGGGAAAGGCTGAATTGTGAAGGAAGACATTTCCCGTAATTGGCTCCATAGCACAGCTTTTTATCAAACGATTCTGCTTGGGGATTGTCAAGATGACAACGAACATGGAGATTTTACTGTACTTCTACTTTGACTAGTAGATTAAGTGGCAACAGGCACCAAAAAATCTTTCTTCCGTTAATGTGAATGCTCTCATGACCCTTAGGCCTCATTAGTACCGTATCTCCTATCTGGACGCTACTCTGGAAGCACAGATACTGGAGCTATTTCATCAGCTCCAAATAGAACACCTGCCTCCTGAGCCATTACCTGTAGAAATCCATAGTTCTCTGTTCTTTGCTCTCCAGTCAGGAAGATCAGGTCCAGATCAAGGACTGGGTGCTCACCTTTTATGTCCTCGCTCAACTGGATCCAAGCAATCCAGTTTCTTTTTACGTTGCCTGAACCTTCGAAGCACCCCAGCCGCCCTCCTGGGTGCAGGCGCTGGCCCTCGGTCATTACAGTGAATTCAAATCCTGTCGAAGGGCAAAGTCCATCCCTCTTCCAATGCCTTTCTCACAAAAGACCGGCAAAATCAGTAACTAAAAATAAATAAGGCAGTAATATTTGTCACCAAAGGAAACCGTCTAGGTCCTGAGTACGTTTGTTCTGAGGAGGAGAAAGCCAGGCTGCACATAGTTTTCCCAGTTATTTAGTACACTATTTGGTCCCACGGTGATGAAAATGACCGAAATCTTACATGACGTGTAGATAATGTTCAATAACGTAGTAAGTACACTCTTTTACCCTTTCAGAAGACTTTTTCCCCTTTCCAGTACCCTTGCAGGGCAGTGGCGACTGGCTCCCCGCGGTGTCCCCTCCTCGGCGCCAGCTCAAAGCCAGGGGCAGCGAGGGGCCGAGGTGGGACAGG